AGTGAAGGTCTACGATGTGATATTAGACTGAGGCCTTTGCTTGTGTTGGGTTGTCTCAAGGCTACGACTTGTGTTGTATCACATGTACAAGGTCAAACACCTGATCTAATACGCCCTTATTGGAGTAGTCTCCTTCATACCCTCCCCTGTTGCTGGGCTTCCTGTCCCTCTTCTTTTGGGAGGGGCAGGAAGCCCGAAAAAGGGGAGGCTGCAAAGGAGACTGTTACTGGAGTAGTAGTTCATGAATTATTAATGAGTTTCATAAATGTCATTTATAATATTCATTAATAATTCATAAGTTACACAGCTATTCAGTGACCGCCATTGTAGTCATATGACTACCCTTGTATTCACCAATACAAACTTAAAGCGTGGGGAGGTCTTGAGTTCAGAGCAGGGAAAGGGTGGGGTTGATGAATAATATAACTATAGAGAATGAGATCTATTAGTATGTTAGAAAAAATACAGAATACTTACCTAATAGATCTATTAGTATTCTGTATTTTTATACATACACCTACTTGCAAAAACGTTGTCATCAAAAATAGGACATTTGTATTTTAGTAAAAAGGAATACATTAAAAAGACAAAGAATATCACTCTGAAGGCTTTCTTTTGTCTTGTTTTGATTAATTCCTTTTTACTAAATTCAAATGTTCTATTTTCTATGACAACGTTTCTGCAAGTAGGTGTACATATAACTATACATGTAATAACTTTAGGTACTCGATGATTGATATCATAAGTCATATACAATATTCGCGTCCGATCTGTATTGGGAATACAATGGCTTGCCTTCGGCTTGCCATTGTATTCCCAATACAGATCGGACGCGAATATTGTATATATTACCTACAACACTTGTGTTCATGTTGTATGGTTTGAGATTGTAATTCCCATATAACTCCTTTTTACATACTTTTCAGAGATTCAACATTTTCTCTTCAAATGTTATACAACCAAGCTAAGATGTTTGTTCAAAACTCAAGTGCACCATGCCTTTTACTAGTAGATGATATGAGTGTCTTGCTCACTCTTGGTGTCTCAGTGCAAAAACTTCTGGACTTTAGTATTTACTGTAGAAATCTGATGTGTCATCAAGAAGACCAGGTAAAACCTCATCAACTTACAAGACAACAACAAAGTCATTTGCATAACAATGTACAACTCCTGGGAAGGATTTTAGAAATGTTATTGACATTTTATATATAATGCATTTATATTGAATATTCTTGCAAGAGTTTTAAAATGTGATATATACGAAAATGACGTTGTTGTGGTATAAGTATAGGTAAYAGCGTGTTTTGTAGTGATATTTGGGATAAATACCACATGTGACATTTCAAAATTGTCAAACAACATTTCACGAGCAAAGCAAGTGAAATTTGTGACAATTTTGAAATATCACAAGTGGTATTTATCCCAAAATCCATGTACAAAAAATGTTTATTATTTGTTTATAAAATGGTTGATTAAAATATTGTGCAATTTGAAATACCACTATTAAGGATAAATACCACTCCTCTAAGCCAATCAAATTGCGCAATTTTATTCAACCATGTATTATATGTCTTTATAACTGAACAACATTAATGGGATTGACTGTATGTACTGAGAGCATTGAAACAAGGTCTTTTTCAGCAATTATTTTTGATACACACCATTTCTTTTTAGATATGTTTTACTAATGTTCAAAACATATAAAGAGCAATATTTGATCCTAATGTGAGATTTCCTGTTGTTGKGCTTGAATAATCAATGTTTTTCCATGACAACATAAAACAAAATGCACCCTTTTTCTCAAATTTCTTTCAGTAAACAGCTGTAACTGAAAAGGGAATCTTTATACTGTAATATGCAACATTTAGTAGAGTTGTTCATGAAAATCTCTTTTTAAGTATATTCGCTGTATAAATTGCAAATTTAAATACTTTTGGAAGTTCATTCTTAATCTAYGAGTGTAATCAAAATTGAAATGAAACTTTGTCAAATACTTTTGTATAAAAGATTACATTGTGACAATTTCATATGTTGCTATCTGTATGTCTTTTTATAATGAAGCGTAGTGAAGGTCTATGATGTTATATCAAAACATTTGCTAGGGTTGGGTTTTCTCAATGGTGTTGTAATTCTGTTATAATCTGTGGATCAACAAGTGCTGTCTTTATGGTCAGGTGATTTTGGTCAATCACCTGACCAAAAAGAGAGCCCTTATTGGAATTATTAATTAGTTTTACAATATAAATACAATATAATACAATATATTTTGTTAGGTTGACAGATGTTTTGCATGCCTTGTACATTGTGATGATGATGTAGATGATGATGAATCAATGTTGCTGTGGAAACAGCTTCGTCATATTGCTAACATTGAATTACATGTGGAAGGCTTGAGTAGTGGATATTGTGTTGATGTTCATGGTCAGGTAAGAAAAGATTTTCTTTTTATTCATAGGCAGCCCAGCTATTGCTAGTCAAGAGAGAATTATTGTTTTTTTTATTTATTTGTTTTGTGTCACAAACTAGTTTGATTCAGTGCATCACAGAAAGATGATGTTAGTAGTACCTGCATTTATTAGAAAGAGCATGCTCTAATATAATAACAGCATGCACAAAACTTTAAAAAAATGTGATTAATAAAAGCATGAAGTCTCTCAAGCAATARTTGGGCTGCATAWGCATTAACCCTGTTCCACTCACTCAACCTCATAYAYRCAGTTATGTGTTTACCTCCATGAATTACCRAATAGAAAAAGTCAGTATTCTGTGCAGTATGGCAATAATACTCCTCATGCTGTACTGGCTATGATGATACACCAAATAGACCCAGTCGATGGGTTAAAAAGGCGATACCRTTGAGGCTAACACCAAAGGGGAAATTCAAATCATAAAGATGTTACATTATAGCATTATTCATAGAAATCATTTTACTCAGTGCTGTCAATCTTCYGGCATTGAAACACTACTCCCTTTTGGTGTTAGCTTTCTTGATGTATCCTTTCGGTTTTTCAAGGAGGTGTATACACTTAATTTACAGGTTCAAAAAATCATCAAAGCTATGACCAAAAGACGACATTGGAAGGCAAATTATAYTAAATTTGATATTATGTAGTTTAGGTCAGCCCTTCTCTTCTGGAAAAATACCTGCACACTAAATTATCATTGCCTGCTGTGATATGAACCATATTTGTGACAATCTTAGTTACACAGTATAATATAATTTATTGAAAATGTCCTTTGGTCTTAGCTGATGATTTCACATATTTTTAACCCAATACATTTTTTTCCTTCATTTTTGTGGTAATTTTCATTCACTGCTTAATATCTTTTTACTTATTACCCAACAAAACAACAGAGCTGACATCTTTAATGACCTTTTCAATTTCAACTGACATGGTGTATTCTTGATATATACCTGTTATGTTCATAGTGAAACTAGTCTTTATGYTTGTCTTTGCAATATATGTTTATAACTGATGACTCAATCTCAATATTCATATCAGTTAMGYGTTCTCTTCCTCTGCTGTAASCAYTCATGCTTGTCTCGCCGATATATACTTCYRTCTGTAGTCTTCGTTTCAACTCAGAGCCTTGTGTTGCYGGTACCATGATGGCACTCAGACTTGTAATCTTCTCTCCTGTACCATGTCTTCCTTTTGTTSTCTTTCTCCTTCATTGTTTCTTTYCTTTTCCATTKCTTATTYCTGTCTTTCCCCTAYGTAGTCGTGCTCTTGTAGGTGTCTATAYGCCTTCAGTGCTGAGCTAACTACTTYGTGACGAAACCGTTTGTTATACCCAGAGTATTGCATTCGGAGAAGCATTTCTTCTACATGTTTTGCAGTACACTTCCATGGTAGATACTTCCTGGGTTAATATGGTATGTTTGGTATTCCATGGTATAGTAGATCGTGAATATATCACATGCTTCAAAGAGACACTCTTGGCAAAGAACTCATGTAGTACACACCTCGCCTTCGCACCGTTGATTTCAATCTCTTGTATCCACACTTCAATCCCTTCTATCCATAGGATCCAAAATAGCTGGTAACTTCTTGTCATGATAATTTGAAAAATAATCCACCTCTACATGAATTGAAGAGTGAATAGAGGTCAATTTAATACAAATCAGTTTCATGCAACTTTCATCTTTCTCTCTATCCTCATTTTCAGTCTTCAATGTAACTTCAATACATTTATCTAGTACATAGTACCTTGATCCCAACRTGGGTGCTTCCATTGTCAAGTTGATGTTGTCAATATATGTATTCAACATTTGAAAGTTTAACCTAAGGTTAATCATATTGTTTTTCAATGTTGTACGATCCCATGAAATCAAATATATCTGAGCCAAAACACCAATAAGTTCTAAACCTATTGGTCCTCCTTTCACGTCTTTCTTGATCTTCTTGAATTCATACACATAGTTTTTCATTATGAACAGAAGAGCAGCTGTCAAAGCTTCAATAAACATAAATGTTCTTTTTCTTTCGATGGCATAAGCTCRGGTGTCTTCCATGGTTTGAATSGCTTCTCTTTGTTGTTTCCAATTGCACATCCTGTAATAGTTGGTTTCCACCCTCTTCTGGTCCTTCTTGTAGGATAAAATCTCAACATATCACGCTCCTCCAAGTAAATTTCRTCATGTTTTTCAACTCTGTTGTTTTGTTGGGTACGTAAACAGATAAGCAGTGAATGAAAATTGCCAATATCAAAAATGAAGCTTGGTAAGTCTGTTCTTGTCTCGATAAAGAATTTATCAAACATTTTTTCAATCAGGTGTATAATGTCATTCCTTTAATTGTATTTCAGCTAAGTATTAMAAATAAAGATGACGTCAGGATGCAGCCCTCAAAGCATGCTGTAACACAGTTTAAAGTTCAAGATAGAATTGTCCATTTTTTTGCACCAGGAACCTCTAAAGCAGTTTTGTAACCTTTATTTATGAATTTGCAGCAATAAACACTTCAAATTGCGAGACATGTTTGTTATATACTGAAAACAGAAGAAATTGGCCTATACTTTACATGGATGATTGGTGCCTGAGATTGAAGTGTGTACATTTTTTTCGTTTTGTAATATCTTCTAGAAATTGTTTCAGCAGTTAGGGAAGCAAGGGTGGCCGAGCGCTGAGAGCGCTGACCTGTCACCTCTATGGACCCTGTTAGAATCTCGGTCGGGACTCCATATGTGATTTGAGTTTCTTTCCTTCTCTTCCTTGCTTTGAGGGGTTTTCTGGGGTCTTTTCTGGTTTTCCTCCCTCAGTAAAAACAAACCATTTGTATCTACTGTGCTCCACGATCAGTCAACGTTGTTATGTAAAGGAAGCGTCTAACCGTGCCTATGTGTAAGTGTATGTAAAATGTGTCTGTAATATAGCACTTCGACTTAAGAGTGCATCAAGCTGTGTCTTTTGCAATTCAGAACCTTTGTTGCCATGAAGAATGATTTAGTACCCTTTTCCCTTTGAAAAGATTTTGTGGTCATGACTGTTTTTGGGGTATAAATTAATCTATAACTTCAAATCTTCCATACAAATGCCAATTGAAAACGAGAAATTACAGTATGTATGGGAGATTTTCACCTTAAAAGGTGTTTCGATCGTATTAAATAGCGTTTCGCGCGTATTTTTAAACTCCAACTACGTCTCAAATTTCAATTCAATTGCACTCAAACTTTCACAGAAGTCACATTGATTATCGATAATTCTTTTTGATAAATTAATTTGCCAAAAAGCGAAGCCATTTGGATAAACGATACAAAATAAAAACACCTTCATTTTTCTTCAAAATTAATTTACTCGAAGCTCATCGTAGAGATTGTAATAAAATTTTCAGAATCATATATTTCTTAATAACATAATTGATATACTGACGAAGTTTCAATAAAATCTTAACCTAAAATTTCGGTTTGTTCGAATGTACATCATTTTGCTCAAACAACTCGAAATTTTAGGTTAAGATTTCATTGAAACTTCGTCAGTATATCAATTATATTATTAAGAAATGATTCTGAAAATTTTATTACAATCTCTGCGATGAGTTTCGAGAAAATTAACTTAAAATGAAGGTGTTTTTATTTTGCATCATTTATCCAAATGGCTTCGTTTTTTGGCAATTAATTTATCAACAAGAATTATCGATAGTCACTGTTACTTCTGTGAAAATTTGAGTGCAATGGAATCGAAATTTGCGACGTAGTTGGGGTTTAAAAATACACTGGAAGCGCTATTTATTACGACCGAAACACCTTTAAATGCTAGAGTACATGTACAACTGTACACTGGTTCCAAAGGCTTGTCTTTTATTCTTTTGCTTACTATGTTATCGAGCCGTGAAGTGGCAATTGCCAATACCAATTAGGAATATTGAATCATTGAACCTTTTTAAGAACAGCATTGAAAACCCATTTATTCAAGATGGCTTTTCTGTAATTTGAATTCATATTTCTTTTTTATCTCTTTCTCTCTCTTTTTTTTAATTACTTCTTGTAATTTGTCTTGTATATAATGACACATTGTAAATAGTTTTAACATTTGAACGATTGTAAAGCGCTGTTGATCTGACATTGCTAAATAGCGCTATATAAATTATTATTATTATTATTTGTTAATTGTTTTTTTTATGCCAAGCCTCTGATATCAAGCGGAGGCCAATCTCACTTTCATGCTGTATTTTAGCTGTCAAACAAGTCAAATAAATGAACCAATAAGAGC